TGTATCGGTGCAGCATATTCTTTAGGTTGGATGACCGAATATAATTTTCTAAAATTCATGGAACATTTTGTGGAGACAGTCAAATGTTCTAAGGATCATCCTATTGTTCTTCTCCTTGATAACCATGAGTCACATATCAGCTTAGATTGTATTAATTTTTGTGTGGAAAATGTTATAAATTGAAACAGGTTAGCACTCAGGTGAGTTTAATTGTTGGAGTTTCAATTAAAACCAACCTGTTCACCTAATTTATTTGTTGGAGGATTTGTCGTGACGAGTGGAGCCACAAGTCGCTAACTTCAGGAGTTTATAGTTAGAGTAAAGAATGTGAGTCTCAGACCAGCAATATTATTCACAAATATCTTTTATTACTCTCTGTGATATATTAGACATATTACTCATTACTTAATAGTAACTCTTTAATCATTAAAGCTTTAACATATATAATACTTCTAATAGAATTATATTATACAAAAGCTGATCTAGAGAGAGAGATACTTACTGTAGAGTTGGCACCTTCTCATCAGCAGAGTTAAGATTATTTGACTGCATAATGTTGACTGGCTGGAGATCTTTGGAGACTACAGAACTCCTGGACGAACTGATTTGCTAGCTCAAGACATGGGTTTTTATAGCAGGATTTCTCTGTATCCTGGCGAGTATCCAAATAGTACACAGCATCACCCTCAAGTAGTGCGATGCTTCTATTGGCTGCTTGTAAGCAAGCCCTGGGCTTATCAGGCACCACACCCAAAAACCCTCAGGCTATTGGTCATGGGCAACTGCTGTGAGCCGGCTGCCTACTTGCTTGTACTGCTACACCCATGTACTGTAACTGATACTGCATCAAAGCACCGTGATGATTCATAAAATATAAACTTTTCTGTAGCTTCTATAGTGCTAAAGAATCGAAGCCAACATCCTCTATCTTATCCTTGTACTTTGGCGTGCATGTGCCAAACATGTTTAGAACTAAAGAGGTTGTTAACTGTCTCTATAGTGACCTCTGGTCACTAAACTCCTATGCTTGTTTCAAGGTTTATACACGTGCTGTGCTATTACTTACTGAAGTTCTAACCTCGTGTTTGATTACTTATCTCTCATGGCTTAATAATTATAATACACAGGCATCTCCTTGTCCTCTTTAGTTTTTTTTTATATGTTCTTCGATTCATTGACTTATTATATGTCCTTCGACTTGTGTACTCTCATTTAACTCTTAAAATCTGCATTTTCAGTTATATCTTGGCTAAATTACTTTTATATTATTTAATTCATAGAAGCAATGGATGAAATTTCCTCAGAAGTTTCCCTTTGCTTCAAATCTTCTCTCGTTCCCGCCTCACTGTTCGTACAGATTACAGCCCCTGGATAGAAGTATATACGGGCCTTTCAAGAAGTATTATAACGCAGCAGCTGACGGTTGGCTAAAGAACAATCCTGGAAAAACAATGTGCATTTATGACATACCAACCTTAGTAAATCAAAGCCTTACACGAGCGCTTACTCCAGAAAATATCAAGAAAGGTTTTCAAGTTTCCAGCATATATCCTTTTGACCGTCACAATTTTTCAGATGATGATTTTCTACCCAGCGACGTAACAGATCGCCCCTTGCCAAATGAAGTATCAACAGAAAACTTGGAGACATCATCTACTAGTGAAGACGTACTAATGAATAGTCCTCCTACCAACAGGAAAACATCAGACCCGCTGAGGACTCCAGAGATGATAAGACCTTTCAGGAAGGCATTCCCACGAAAGAACAAAATAACCAGGAAAAAACGATATTCGGCTATTTTGACCTCTACACCCGAAAAAAAAACAACAACTCCAGCTTGAAAAAGATGACAGAGATAAAAATAAAACGAAAGAGAGTGGTCACGGAAAAGGCGATAGCGCTGGTAATAAAGGCAAGAAAAAAACGAAAAATTGGATGGAAGAAACTGAGTGTCTTCTATGTGGAGACCTGTTTAGTAATTCTGTATCCAGAGAAGAATGGGTGCAGTGTACAGTGTG